TGTTGATCACTGTCCTAGCACAGGCTTGCCTATATGCTACAGGGTTCAGAAAGACAAAATACTGAAGTCGTGAGATGACTTCACTTCCTCAAAAAAATAACAGCAGTTAGAAGGTTATGACTATAGTTTAAACAATGAGATTTTCTTGGGACATCTGTTTTGAGATCACATTTTGAATAGATATGAACTCATTTCCTATGAAGCCAGTAATCTACTATTGTTGATAGCTGTTTACCAGTTCTATGAGTCAGCTATTACCCAGTGGCAAAGGTCTCTCTCAAATCCTCCCAGCATTTTCTAAACTGTATACATAGTGTTTTCCTTAAATAAAATGTTGAGAGAAGTAAGGATGTATTCTTTTCTTGACTCTTGGTAAATTACAGCTTACAAAACTTTGTACTTAGGAATAATATTTAATATATTTATTTATAAAGATGTATTTCCTGGTTGTCTTTAATAAAGGGAGGAATGCAGTATATTTAACAAGTATTTAGATACATGTTATGTCAATATTTAGATAACATTTCAAAACTAGGAGTAAAATTAAGATTCTTTATTTAGATTAAAACAATTATGATTAATTTAGTATCTTCAAAGATGTGCACGGTGCACAAAAGAAAAGATAAACAGATAAAAATATAGTTATAGATGCTGGCAAATTGACTTCGAATCCATTGGTTTTAAATTTTCCCTTTTCAATATTCCAGTTCCAATTTGCAAGCAGCATTTTTTAAGCTGGCTATGCAGATCAGCCTTTAAAGAAAAAAACATAGCAATTTATCTGGCCTATATGCTGGGGATAGTGGTGCCACTAAAAAGAATCCAAGACATTTTTCCTTCTTATCTGCAATGTAGCTCATATCAGCTAACCTGTCACAAGATAGCACTTGATATAAACAAGAGATTGCTAAGACACCTCAGTAATCAATATCAGGATGGCTACAGTATGGAAACCCCAACCAGTGCATATCATTTGTCTCAGCATCTATTTCTATGGCCAAATGAAGCATTAATTCAAATCATAAATCTATGGTGATTTAAATCTGGGAATGAGCACCTGCCTGCTTTAATGATTTATTTTGTACATTTCAGTAAGCAGGAGATTTGTCCATATGAACTGACAGGTCACCTTCAGATGCCAGGAGCAGACTGTTTATCACCATGCAGACTAGCATCTCATCTTAGCAAGTAAATATTAAACTAAAAGAATCCAATTGATTGTGGATGTGGAAGAATGGTGACGTGGCCATATATTTTACTCAGCAAGCCGATACCTCACTCAGATCAGTCCTGAAGGCGTCACTTCTTTCTAGTCATCCTTGTTGAAAAGAAGTTAGCTCAAGGTTACCATGCAAAATTGGAGTATAGAATAATTATTTGTCAGCGTCAAAGATTTCTATAAACACCCTTCTCAGGCTAATTTTAAGACTTGTTATGAATCAATAGGGTCCATCTGTAGCAAGATGATTTTGTCATCTCACCCAGGAAAATCAAACCAAATCAAGAGAACAGAATTTATTTTGTGGATTCTAAAAAATAATTTACAACCGAGATATTTTAAAATACTTCCATAAAGGAAAACCTAAACCATGTGACCATGACCCAACTCATGAGCTCAAAGAATAAAAGTAACAGAAAACAAAATGAGTTGATTTAAAAAATGTCACTGGATAAAGATTAAGTGGAAACAGTACATCATGTTTAAGTAGCACCTCTGTGAAGGATGACACGCGTCAATAGATTCACAAAAGCAGTGAGTTTGAATTCTGAAGCATGGGCTTGAGGTTCTTGAGATTTTTCTAGAATTTATGTTTTTCAATATCACTTCCTTACTACTCAAGATTGCTTTCTGGAAAGGACACAGCAGGCCCTCTTCAAACTTCCTGCTTATTTACCAGTCTCACCCACCCACAAGGTGTTGCCTTTGAGTACCAGGTGTGTATTAAATCCTTTTTGTAGTCTTACAGTGAGGTAACTTAAACATAAACCAAAATTCAAACAATTTAAGAGATGCTCAATTTTCCTCATAGCTTGATAAGAACTACTGCCCAAGAAAGTATGAGAGCAGAGATAGATGCTCTTGATGTCAGTGAGGACAACATGAAAGAAGGTAATTTTCAGGAGGATAAGTTTAAAGAAATAATAATGGCAGGAAGCAGCATCAAACTTCAATCAAGCAATGTAATGAGAAGACAGAATATATGATGCGTTAAACATTAGGAACACAATCTTTAATTTTCATGACGGCATTTTCCTGTTGTCTTGAACTGTTAGACTCAGAAAGTCCACAAAGTGTTCGAAGTCACAATCAAATTATCATTGAGCACTTACGAAGAGGCAGAAGTTGTCTTCAGAACCAGAGAAGAATGGAGCCACAAATCATGCTGTCCAACAACTGCTTTGTGCTATGCAAGCTCTACTCTGGCCTCCACCATGTTTCCTTTACCTTTCTTAACAACCCTCCTCCCTCCTTAAACTCACTTTCTCTGTTTCCTAGATAATGTCCAGGGATGGAAGCATTGAAGAAAGATAATGTGAATTGTAGATTCTAAGAGGATAGCAGCATATGAAAACAGAATGAAAGTGACAATGAGCATCCCCCAAATCAGTTTAAGATGCCTACACTATAAATGATGTATATGCCTTGGGGACAAATAACCCTAATGCAAACACATCTCAAAATATCACAGTCTTCTGAGAAATACAAGTAAATTTCTGCTCTTGATTCAAAGGGATTAAGATGGTTCACACAATGATAAATCACAATATAAACTGCCTACTAATAGAAAAATGTTATTTCTCACAAATAAAATATAATAGGATATTTAAATGGTTTATATTTTAAGTCATGATAATAGCTTGAGTACTTAAATAATTAAAGCAAGTTGCAATTTGGTCACTAGGAAAATGTTATTACATACTAAAAATATTACGCGCATGTTAAGGCTTAATTATGAGTCATGTTCTCTTTGCCTTTTGCCTGTTGGTTTCTCGAAAGTTTCTTACTGCTCTGCTACTTGGGAGAATTAAGAGATGCGTGTTTTAAATATTTCACTTTAAAAGTTTTTTATATTGTTTTTTACAGAATCTCTTCTCAAATCTTCCACTATCAAGAATGGCCTGCATTGCACACTTATTTTGAACATTTTAAAACAACTCAGAAAACCATTTAGACAACTGTAATTTATAATACTTGATCATCTATTTTTTATAAGTATTCAACATTGCCCTATTTTGTCCACCAAAATAGAAGGCTTTTGTGTCAAAGCCGCCTACGCTTAATGACTCTAAAAAACAATCATAATTCTTTCATTTTTCTAAAGTAATTAAAAGTACAAATGGTTGTGTTATCAACCATGAGCTAAGCAATTCTCTGCCTTTGAAACCTTGACTTAGGATCACTAAGTAAGGCATGGGTTAGTATATTCCTGACCCTTTTTGTTTTAGCATCATCTCTTCAAGCTTCCCGTCATGGTTTTACTCTTCCAAGAACGGCCACCACCAGTTATTCTCAATCCAAACCATGGCCGCAGGTCATTCTCAGTATCCCTTATGAAGATATTTTGAAAAGTTCTGTTTTCCTTATGTGTATACTAGAATCTGCCCTCTTTACCATCACAGAAACAGCCATATTTTGTGTTGTATGTATTTTGAAATTACTTACTACTGTAGCATTCCTGTCTAATGTAAGCTTGTGAGGAATTGCAAAAAAAAAAATTATTACTAAATTCACAGTATTTATTTATACATGATTAACAATATCTTAATGGATTGAAAGTAGAGAGTTATTGATTAGCTTAAGAAATAATGTTAAAATGCTGCATGGAAAAGTGAATTTAATTGAATTATCAGGAAGTTTTGTGTTCTTTCTGAGCCTGAATTACATGTACTATCAGGCCAATTATTTATAGAATCAAAATTTTTCTGGTCAAATTATATTTAGAGCATGAATTTTGCACTTGTAACAAAAATAATACAGTGAAGTAACATAATGAAATGTTTGCCACATCAACATCCAGATGCTATTTTTTATTAGTAACGATAGTAACCCACGTTTAAAACTGTGTTTAACAAAACAAACTACGCAGGTGATCAGTCTTCAAAGGTAGAAACATTTCGCTTGATTTGACTGTGACAGTTAACAGCAGGAAAGAAAAACAATCAAAAGAACTTAATATTGTTCATTTCAAATAGGACATACACTGGTAGCCACGGCAGAAAGAATTTCCCCAAATATTCCACATTTACTAAACATACGAAAGGACTCAGTTAATAGTTCCCTTTGAGCCACACCTTTGTTTTCTGTGGTGACTGTTAGATGTGGCAATAGTACTTTGAAAATGCTTTGTGTCGTATGCCAGAAAAGCACACATTCTAATAACTTTCATTGCAGAATATTGTTAAATTGTGTTTTATCATTACCTTTTATTATTAATCTCTGGTAATGTTAATTTGGAAATTAAATTGTATCACATAGGTGTATACAGCAAATCACATACAGAATTCTGTACTATCCATAATTTTAGACATCTACTGGAGTCCTGGAATGTATCCTCCATGGAGGAGAGGAAATTTAATGGTAAGATAGCTCTTGATAATAATATATCTCTTACTTTATATAAATGCCTTAAAAGAATAAAACCGGTAACATGAAGGGCTTGGTTTGTATACTTTTTCTGTCATATCACCAATACTCAATGTTTTAAAATTTTGATTTTTAAAAGGTATTTGTTTTATGAACTATGTCAACTCAGTGCTTAGAGCAGAACTTTTAGTTGTGAAATTGATCTTGTGTTAAAAATCACAATTTTTTTTCAGTTACTTAATGCACATGTTGTTAGGCAGGCAAATTTATGACAGGCTAAATGATGCCTTCAAAACATGCTCTTCTCAAACTAATGTTCCCACTTCATCAGTGCAAAGCCAATAACTTTCCTCTGGAAGACTAAAAATTCTATAGAAGAGTAAATGCGACTAGTGGTGACGAACATAAAACTTACCAACACTTGAATTCATGTCTCCGTTTTCAGAATCGGCTCCATGTTGGTTGTTACTGGCATGATAGTTGCTCATCGCTTCTAATTTGATTTTTTTCACCTTCATTGCTTCAGCAATAGCCGCATTGGTAGCAGCTGCAGCAGCTGCAGCTGCTGCTGTCAGACCTTAAAAGAATAAATTAAAATAAGGTGATTCAAATTCTGATACTTCATGTGATATTCTGTCTCTCACATAACTCATATAAACATATGTTAGAGTATCTTAATCCTTTATGTAATAATGAGAATGTGTTTCCGTTCTGGACCAACCAATGTAACACGGAAGTGACAGAAGGGATTGTTCTTCATACTCCCAAATTAAATATTAGCAGAAACATAACTCACAGAGAACAGGAGTGGAAATTGGGCATGAATGATCTTTCAAAGACACCAGTCTGAGCATGGTATTCTCTGCTTAACATCCTCTACAACACCCAAAAAGGGGCAGAAAGATGGAGCTGCAGCTGATTGACAAGGTTTACTTCCAGTGCTCCAACTCTCATGACTATATCACAGCACACTCAGGCCATGCTGATTATGCCATGACATCCTCTCCTTGGTCTACTTCATCAGCCCTCTGCTTTCTTGCATGTCATTGCCTTCATGTGGAATAATCTTGCTGCATGACTCACTTCCCTGCCTTTCCATTGTCTTGTGGAATGCTACTCATATTTTGGAGTCTTAACCCTCATCTCTCCTGGGCTGGGATGATGCCTACTTGCGTCTCTCAGTGTTTATATTTCTGTTATGACACACGGCATACTTCACTGTGCATCTCTTTTCCTCCCTAGATGGTGAACTATTCAATGGTAGGGGCCATGAGATACTGTACAGCTAAGTAGCCTCAAGGTTCCACATTTTAAGAAAAAAATTTAAAAGCACTTCAGCAGATACTTTGCTTCTACTTATCAAATATAAGTACTTATTTCAGTAACATAAAAGCATTTGGATCCTGGTGGCGCACGCCTTTAATCCCAGCACTCAGGAGGCGGAGGCCAGCCTGGTCTACATAGTTCCGGGACAGCGGGGGCTACAGAGAGACCCTGTCTCAAAAAAGACAAAAAAAAAAAAAACCCTTTTGATAATCTCATTAACCCAATATGACTGACCACTATTATCCTTACTTTACAGATTAAATACCACGATACAGACTCTTAAAATGTAACATTAAGGCCCAGAATCACTGCTGTCCCTTACTTGTGTGACACATCTCATCTCATATTAACCAAAGAACAGTAAATAGAACTAGACATAAAATTCTTTTTGTTACAGTAGTTTTAGAATTTCTGACTACAGTGTTCCAGGCCTCTGAATCTATCCTTGTTATTTATTTCCACTCCTAATAGAGGGGAGAATGAGCGTGCCCCTTCTATTTCTCCCCACTAATCATCACCTCTGGTTACTACAGCAAATAAGTTGCTGCCCAGAGAATTACAAGAAAGCCTTTCTTAGCTGAAATCTTTGCTAAGTATTAATAGCATAGAAGAATCCACCTTCCCTTCAGATGAATGCAAAGAGGCCCTGACCACTTTCACCCCAATACAACAAGACCTGCAGATCAGATCTTTGCACGTAAACTCTTAACTGCACTTTAAAAAGCATTGATCTGAATTCAAGGACTGCATCTGGGTTTAGGATGAGCATTTGCAGCCTTTTAAGTCCCAACTTGAACAGATTCTCTCATCTTCCTATGATTGAATTTTCTCCCCAATTACTCATTTCCTTCAAAGATGTTTCAGAACATTTTCTTTCCTGTTCTCTCTAAATCCTCGGTGAGTTTCCCAGAAAAGTCTCTTTCCTTTCTGTTTGGTTTGTCACCAAGGTGAACATCTTTGTCCCTTTCCTTGGTTTCCTGGTGTTGACTTGTCTCCAATTTATGCCTCCTCTCAGATTTATGCCTTGAGTTTATGCAGAAGTTGATTTGGTAATTGGTCTAATATATAAGGATAAGTCTATGACATGAGATACAATTACTATTAGCCTATAGACCCAAATCAAAGTTAAGTAACACACAGGATAATTATTCAGTATGTGGACCCAGGAAAACCATCAGATCTTTTTGAGTAGGGTTTCTTTTGGAAAAAAAAAAGTCTAAACAGAAAGGGGAAATACAAGAACCAAGTTTTAAAAAATCTGTATAAAGACTATCACAGTATGTTTAATATAAAAATGACATGTTGCATATTCTAGTTCTGTAAGCAAAGCCCAAGTGCTAGAATTCCTATAAGCTGCCTAAGGGCTTATGGAGGCCTTACTCTAGAAGAATAATGCTTGCCCTGAGAAGACTTTCACCCTTCAGTTATTATATATGTTTCTTATAATTTTACTATATTCTGTTTTTTCATTTTATTTATTATTTTTATTGTATGTGTTTGTGTGTATTGCCTGCACGTAGGTAAGTGTACCCATGTCATGCATATATTCTATTATTATAAATCTGTTATTTTTGGTTGATACTTTATCCCATTTTGAAATTCTAATGCAGTTCCCAAAGCTATATGTGCTGTAACACACACACAGATGCAAATGTGCATACACATTTTATAACTTAACTATAATACTATTAACATTCTATTTTTACCTCAGTTTTCTGAACATAGGAAGGAAATTATATTTATAAAAAATGGCAGATTTGGGTTTGAATAACCATTTTTGCTATTTCAGGGATTTCAATTACTTAATAATATATTTTACATACAATTTCCTCCACTTCTCTTCCCCTATAGTTGCAAATTTCTATGATCTATTCTCTAGAATCCTGTAGTCCTACAGTACATTCTTAACAACCTCTACTTTCCTTACCACTAATCTCTTATCCACATAGTAGTAGACATGGTCATATGAAAATGAAGGATGATCATGATGGCATTCAATGTCTGCCGTTAGGATAAGGGTCAATACTTTACATGCTATTAGGGTTCTGAGGGCTCACTTCCCTTTTAATCCATGTAGAATCATCCCAGTTCATATTTTACTTCTGTGCTCCAAATGCCCAAACCTTCTTTCAGTTTCTAATTACATCATTCTTTCTCTTTGTCTCTACATGCTGCTGCCCCTTTTGAAGGACGCCTTACAGTCTCTTGTTACAGACCTGCTTATACCACCTCCACATGATGGCATAAGTAGTTAAAGATGAAGGCTTAGATTCCTGACATTTCACTGGCTGTTAAGGAAATTGCTATCAAGCTTTCAAGAATTATCTCAATGCTATTTCTTTCCAAGAACCATGCCTAACTTTCTTCAACCTGTCTCTAGGAGAGAACTGGCATTTTTTTCATACGTGCTGGGTGGGACCTACCATCTCTGGATGTATCACAACTAGTGATGGAGATTTCAAACCAAGCACACAGATATGCCCTACTGGCTCCAATTTTGACTCCGGAGAGCTGAGGAGGAGATTCTAGGGTTCTGTATTGTGTATTTTATTTAACTGATCTTTGCACTGCATGGGCCATTTTGCATCTTAATGTGTAACCTGAGGAAAGCAACATAATCCTTTGATACTTTTGTTTCTTTTAGTTTTCTTTAATGAGAAGAAACCATAACTCAAAGAATGACAGAAGTGTGGCTGCATCCCTAGGTTACAGGAGGAAAAAAGGTAGGAACAGACTTTTACATATGTGTATCAAACATTATAACAATAGTTGGCAGAAATTGTCACTAAATGCAAAACAACCTTTCAAACTGCATTACTTGATGATCCCCATGAAAAATAAAGTGTCAATACACTATTTTATATTAGAATACATTTACATATGCTAGGAGTAACAAGTCTCATTAATGTAATATAAAGCACGACTACGCAAAGGGACTTTGTGCCTAAGATGGGAGGCCATCCCTGGACATCTGACAGTCCTCTGCATTTACTGTACTTCCTTTTGGATCTCAGTGGTTCATTCAGCTCTCCAGTATGATTCTCCATCTTCTTGTCTCTAGTAAAAACACAGCATCTAATCTCTGCATGAGCCTCAGATAGATGTCATTGTATTTGTAGTTCACTAATTAACCTGCCTTTGAAACAAAGGGAAATATAACAAAACAATTCTAGTCTTTGGTTTACAGATTGTAGAAATTGTGACAGGTTTTATAAAACCAAGAATTACTCTCTGGTGTAGATATTAGTAACCTATAACATCTACCTTACTCTTTGATACCCTCGTAGCACTTTTCTCATTTATCCTAGTCCCTGCTCCTTGCCCCAACTCAGATTCATAGAAGTTTTTGATACCCCAGGCTGCCATTATCTCTGCCCAAAGTCTCTTACATTTCAGGGAGACAGTGCTTTTAACACTTTCCCTACCAAACCAGCCAATTTCTTTTCCAGAATGAGTACACTGATTGTTTCTCAAAATACCAGTTTTTATAAGAATTCTTTCATACATTAGAGAAAAGACTTTAAATTATATAGCTATACCTACTGAGAACGCAATACTAAAGTTTCATGGTATATCTACTTCATAATAAATGGTTATTAACCACACAGACTATCATTGTAATGACTTTCAAAAGTGAATATGTTTAAAAAAACAACAGCTAACTTTATTTAAATATGACCTGAAT